GAGGGGTTCTCCATTACTACAACTCCTCTAACGAAATTGGTAAGGAAATATGTTCCATTTGTCTGGTCTGAAGACCAACAAGCTAGCTTTGAGAAATTGAAGATTGTTTTAACTCAAGCTCTAATGTTGATTTAGCTTGAGTCTGAGAATGATTTTTTGTCTACAGTGATACTTATCACTCTGGATTAGGATGTGTTTTGATGTAATATGGGAAGGTTGTCGTATATGCATCACGTCAGCTAAAGTCGCATGAACACAACTATCCCACTCATGATATAGAGTTAGTTGATGTGGTTTTTGCTTCGAAGATCTGGAGACACTATCTCTATGGAGAAAAGTGTTATATCTATATCGATCATAAGAGTCTAAAGTATTTGCTTACTCAAAAAGAGTTGAATTTTACACATCTTCGCTAGTTGAAGCTTCTAAAGGACTATGATTATGAGATAGAGTATCATCCAGGAAAGGCTAATGTGGTGGTCGATGCCTTGAACTGTAAGGCGATATCCGATCTAAAAGCCTTGTTTTCCAATTTGAGTTTGTTTGATAATGGAAGTCTGTTAGCAGAATTACAAGTAAAACCCATTTTGATCGAGGAAATTTAGGCTAAACAGCTCTTAGATAGCTCCTTACTTCCCATGATTGGGCAGGTTGAGCAGGGAACGAGTTCAAAGTTAAGATGATGAGTTAAGATGGGATAAACTTAAGGAGGCTCATAGTAGCCCTTCTGCAATGCATCATGGTGGGGGCAAAATGTACAAGAATCTGAAGGAGCGATACTTTTGGAGTGGCATGAAGAAGGATGTTTCAGATTTTATGGCGAGGTGTCTGACTTGTCAACAGGTTAAGGTAGAGCACCAATATCCATTGGAACTGTTGCAGTCGATTAAGATTCCTAAGTGGAAGTGGGAGCGTATTATGATGGACTTCATTAACGGTCTTCCTCTGACTCCTTCCAAAAAGGATTATGTTTGGGAGATTGTAGATTGACTCACCATGTCAGCTCATTTTATTCCTGGTCAGGTTAATTATTCTTTAGACAAGTTGGCTAAATTGTATATCTTTAAGATCGTTAGACTCCATGGTGTTCCATTGTCCATCATATCTGAATGAGATCTGGAGTTTACTTCTATGTTCTGGAAAGCTTTGCACGAGGCTATGGGTACTCGTTTGAATTTCAGTACAACTTTTCACCCGCAGACTGATGGTCAGTCTGAGCAAGTGATTCAGGTGTTGGAGGATATTCTACGGGGTTGTGTGATTGACTTTCATGATAGTTGGGAAGATTTATTTCCTTTAGCCAAGTTCACTTACAATAACAGTTACCAGGCAAGTATTCAAATGGCACCATATAAGGCTCTGTATGGACGTCGATGTCATACTCCTATCCGTTGGACCGAGTTGTATGATAAAAAGACATTGGGTCTAGAGCTAGTTTGAAAGATTGAAGATATGTCACATTGATCTGTGATCACCTGAGAGAGGGGTTTGATAGGTAGAAATATTATGCAGATCAGCGATGGAAGGATATCGAGTTTGAAGTTGGGGGCCATGTCTTTCTGAAAGTATCTCTATGGGAGAAAGTGTTGAGATTTGGACGAAGGGTAAATTGAGCCATATATTTATTGGGTCATACCGTATTTTGAAGAAAGTTGGACTTGTTGCTTATCATCTTGAGTTGCCTCCCCATCTCAGTTGCATTCATGATGTTTTTCATGTATCCATGTTGAGGCTATATCGTCTAGATCCATGTCACATCATTCTAATTGATGACGTAGAGTTGATACATGATTTGTCTTATGAGGAGGATCCCGTTCAGATTTTAGATCGAGATCAGAGAGTTCTTCGGAATAGGTAAATTTCGATGGTTAAAGTTCAATGGAGTAATCATGGCCTCTCAGAAGCTACTTGGGAGACATTGGAGTCGATAGAAGTTCAATTTCGCATATATTTTCATCAGGTAAATTTCGAGGACAAAATTTCTTTTAAGGGGGAGAGTTGTCACACCCAACTTAGGGCCTAAAATTTTTCTTAAAATTCTTCTGATGACAAAATTAAAATTTTAACTAAATTCGGGGGGAAATGTAATTTAGATTAATTCAGATGCAAATTTAGAAAGTATAAAAAATTAGAGGACCTAGAGTGTAATTTTACTAATTTCCTTTTTAAGGACTATATAACTCCCAAATATGGAAAACTTCCTTATTTGAAAACCCTATTTTCTCTCTCTTCAAGTTTTCATATTTTAGTAAAGAAACTTCAATCGTCGTTTCGTCGCCAACCATTGCTTCGTTTTTGACACCTCCCGCACCATCATGTTTCTTGCGTCGTCCTGAGTCCACCGGTGTCCACTTTGTCTCAGTTATTGCTAGCGTGTGAGGCGTGAGAAAGGCTAAGTTTCCGATGTTTTGAAATCAAGTTCGCCGCCATTCACTGTTGTGAACCGATCTTGGTAAGTGCCTCAAAATACCTTAAAAAGTGCATAGGAATTTTTTCATAATTATTTAGACCCCCAAAGGCTATGCACGTGCCCCCACGCTCCGCCCCTGAGTGTAGGGAAGTTCCATTGCTTGGTGGATTGCTTGATAATAGGTTGACCCGACCTGACCCTCCTGTCCGAACCGAACCATGACCGACCCGACTCGAACTGAATCGATCAATCGTTGACAACTGTTGATCGTTGACCAACCATTAACCATTGACCGACGTTGAATTTTTTTGAAAACCTCCATCTTGACATTTTTCGACATCCTAAGTCTGACTCCACGATTTGTTTTGCAAAATTCTGACCCAAAAGCTCCGAATTGAGCCCGTTAATCCAAAAATGCTTTGTATTTTTAGCATTTTTGCTTTTTTATTTAAGATTTGATTATGGAATTGATTCGAGAATATATTTTTATGAAGGTACTAATGTTTCACTCGATCAAGGGTCGGTTAGATTCGATGCTTCCCATTCGTCAGATCCGCACGATCCGCATTCCTCGAGAGTTACTCGTAGGTATATGTAAATTATTTAAATAGGTATTATTATTATTCATATTAGGATTCCGATATGGATTTTATGATTCGTGGGATCTAGTGCTGCCACTGATCGTGATCGGCAGACTCAGTAATAGGCTTTCTTATCATACCACTCAGATTGATACAGGTGTGTTTCCTGATGGTGTTAGATTATGTTTTAAATTGTTCATCTGAACTGTTTTAGATTTATGATAATACTGAATATTTTTATGACACGATACCTGGTTTTCTAAATATTGTTTATATGATATTTGATTTATATGATATCTGATTTATTGTACATTTCTGACATGATCTATGATTTCTATATTTTGTATCTGATTTCTGAGTTGGAATATTTTCATGTTTTACTGAATTAAACTACCGTTTTCACTTTAATACAAACATGTTTATTATTGTTATTGGGATATTAGTGGAGGAAGTATCTCATGCCTAGTTTATGACTTGTAAGTACTTACCGTAGGTTCCTCGACTTTGTAATCAGTGTAAGTCCTTATCGCATGCTCCTAAGCTTTTTGCACAGGGTAACTCTTTACCACATGTCCTTATGCTATGTGTATAAGGCACTTACCGGGTGTACAGGTGGGTGTATGGTTCTGGGGAACCTACATATTATGGTGATCGGATGGGGGTAGTGTTCATAATTTTTTTAAACATGTTTGATAAACTGATTTTACTGAAGTATTTTATCTGTATGTTTTCATACATCGTAAGGAGAACACTGGGCTTTTTAGCTCAATTTGTAAATTTTAACATTTTCAGATAGTAGCAGACCGTACACTAGCAAACTTGGCATCAGGAGGACCGACTACTCTTATTTTTGTACCATTGTATACCTCTATATACATTTTGTTATACTTGGTGACACTTGTTTTTGCTTTCGTCTCGATATATCTGTACTATTGGTATTTTGCTATGTATATGTTTTATACGGTTTTTCTTATACATGCATATGTTAATATATGGACGTTTATCTTATGAACTTTTCTTATTACTAATTTCATATTATATTGTATATGGATTTGAACGTTATTTAAATATGAAAGGAAATTTCTAAATAAGATATGTACCCACCTATAATTGGGCATAACGTATAGGCCGGATCTAGGGGGTTACATTGTTTTTTTGCTACCACAGCACATCACCGACAACATGATCACTTGCGTCACACATTAACTCAAAAGAAAAGTTCCAGTCGGTGAGACTACAATAGGAACATTTATCAACTTCAGTTTGATTATTTCAAATGACTCAAGGGCTTCATCGTCAAAGATAAATTTATCATCAATAAAATAGATAATTAATAGAAGAAAATTTAAATTTCAAAATAAATGTGTTCACTCTCGAATACACGTAATCCGTCACTAGGAAGGGTCTTTAGGTTTGATTTATATGATGGATCGAGTGCGATTACAATTTTCATCCCTCTTTGGATAACATCTTCAATGTAAAGTTCATCGTTTATGTACCTACATATTATCTTGATTTTAATTCTATGACGCTCAATTATTCTACTACTGTTATTGGTGCTCGAATCAGTGATCTCTAAAAACAATAATAATTCATTTAACTACTGAGGTAAATTGATTCGTGTACTTATTAATTCTTTCAAAACATATCATATCAAAATTAAAACATTTTTTGTGTTTATTAAATGTAACATGTTTGTATTTTTCTTTGAAAAATAATTTTCCAAAGTTGCCATGGACCTTGTTTATCGATTGACGCTTTTTTCTTTAGGTTAAATTTTTGACACTCCATCTCTAGTTTTCTTAACACCCCTATTTAATATCATATTAAATGTATTCACTACAAGAAAATTATTTTTAATGACACACGAACAATGACACATTTATGATTTACAAAAAATGTATCATAAAAAAATATCATATTTTTAAAAATCTAAATGATTTATGACTACAGTAGTGTGTATCATATTTAATAGTCATAATCCAAAATATTTAAAAACCGCAACGCAGATGAAGGAGTCAAAATTTAAGGGTTTATGCATGTATTCCTCTTTCTCTATTCCACCATTCAATTTGGGTTTGTTCCATCGTCTCTGTATGAAAGTCGACAGCATAATTGGTCGGAAAGGTGAAGTCATCAAGAAGATGTGCGAGGAAACCAGCGCCCGTATCCGCGTTCTTGATTGTGCTGTTGGGACTCCCGATTGTATTGTAACTCTAAACCCTAATTTCTTTTTGAGTTAATAATTTCACAGTTGTCGATTCTTTGGGTCTGGCATTTTCTTTCTCTAGTTGATATTTGCTCTGGAAAGAAAAGAAGAAAAAGAAAGAGTAAAGAGTAAAATACGATAAATTTTAACTCTAATTAATCTATATCGATGTAAATCATGCATCTTTTGATTCAAGGGATTTCATTTTCAAACGAAGAATGCTTTAAAAGTAACAACCGAGTTTAATTTGATATTTGTCCGTTACGAGATTTATATAAATTTAGTAACACCTGTTGTATATTAGTCAAAGTTTTGACTTCTTGATCAAATGACAAATACTTTGTTCCTTTGTTTTCGAAAGAAAAATAAGGGGGACTTAAGCAAATTTATGTCAATAGATATGTCTGGGCCACAAATTTGGAGTTTTTCCTACTGATTATTCTTTGATTTCTAGAGTTAAGTTATAGTTTTCTGATTGCCCTTTACTGGTTCCTTAATTAATTGGGTTTTCTTGTAGATGATAATATCTGGAAAAGAAGAACCAGAGGCACCTCTTTCCCCTGCAATGGATGCTACTATAAGAGTTTTCAAACGTGTACATGGATTGCAGGAAAATGATGCTGATGCTAAAGCAGCTGGAGCTACATTTTGTTCTATCCGGTTGTTGGCGGCATCTACTCAAGCAATCAGTTTAATTGGAAAGCAATGCTCCTTGATCAAGTCATTATACGAGAGCACTGGTGCATCTGTCAGGGTATTGTCAAGCGGTATTTTTTTTTACAATTTAGAATATTGGTTTATTCATGAGAGGTCGGGTTCCCTTATTGCTCATTTATGCATTTAGGTTTCGGTTGGTGCACAGGAATTTGAATTGATGGATGAAATGTCTTCATTTTGTAACTTTAATTCTCTAATCCCATTTTATGTAAGTTTTTCTGATGGGATTATGCATCCTTTCCACCTATCCATAGGGTCCTTTAATCCTATTTATATAGAGGATAAATCTAACTGATTGTTCTATGATCCCCAAATTAAAAGGCTCATTTTTTTTTTTATAAATATGGACATTACATTAGAAGTTATCCTCTCCATTCCTATGCTATGCATGAAATGAACCACAAACCAATGAAGTTGTGGCTAATTTCTGCATGGCTCTGTTCAGTAAATGGATAAAATATTGAAATTCTGTGCTTCTTTCTTGATTATTTCATGTGTGCACATCTATGCGCATTATTTGCATACTTCATTTTTTTAATTTTGGGGGTATTTTACATGCTTAGGCTGGGGGATCTTTTTTGGAAGAGATTATTATTAAACTCTGCTGAATGTGCCCCTTCCAAAAATTAATAAAGATTTAGAGAACTTAAAGGTGCCTTTTTTTTTACTTGCACGTCTTCTAAAACCTGCCTTTTGTTTGTTGTATTATGGTTATTCTTCTTCTATTTCAAAAAGAAGGGTAGATAGTTTTTAATTTGGAAGTCCATTTCTTTTCTGACAAGTCATTTAGGAAGCTTGTACCTTAATACTGAAATAGAACTTTTGTCAATTATGAAATAGAACTTTTATTTGTGCCTGCTTCCATCCCTGTAAATTTAAGGTCTTACCTCCTTGATGGGGCACAAAGTTTTCAAATCTGCATAGCTTAAAATTCACGTTTCCAAGAGTGAAATAAGATGTATTCTAAATGGCTGATCTTATGCTGAGTTTTGTCACATTAAAGAATCAATAAGTGTATACCTTAGGGTGCAATATAAAACCCTCAAAATATTGGTGTTATTGTATGCTTCAATGCTTTGATAGTTCATCTGAATTTTGCTATTGTTTTAACTCGAACTGTTGTGATTGCATAGTTCTGGATACATGAGCGTTTTTTCCTTGCTTGTAAATGATGCTTTGCAATACGAAAACGAAAAGTAAATAAATTTTGTTGGTTCCTTTGATTATTTTGACAATCATAGTTATATAAACTTACAATAAATCCAAGCTTTTGTATCTTATTTTTTGTTCAAAAAGTGCCCTATAAATCATAGTTTTAGGGATTCTGTAAAGTTTATGGTGAACATGGTACTGTTTTTGCCGAGGAAACTCCACCTTATGTGGTAGCAGATGAGAGGATTGTGGAGTTGCAGGGGGAAGCCCTGAAGGTTCTTAAAGCTCCTGAAGCTGTGGTGGGGCACCTGAGGAAATTTTTGGTTGATCAAATTGTTCTTCCTCTCTTTGAAAAGACAGTAGTAAGTATGTTTTCGACTGAACTGTTGTTATGTATCCTTCAACTGTTTCATGTTAAGCGGTGCTATCAATGGTTGCAGCACAATGCGGTAGTCACTCAAGAGCTTCAAGCAGAGACAAGGGATGAAAGGTCATCTCTACATACTGTTTCTCAAGGTGGAATTGGAGTCGATCTTCCTCTTACTGCGAGGAGAGACTTTTTGTTCCTTGAACATGAAAAACAATTTGAGTCACAAATCCCATCTTCTGGAATTCCATTCTATGGACAGGATCTTCCACATTCGATAGTACATTCTAGTTCAGGGCTTCATCGATCTGCTGTTCCTATAGTTACTCAGGTTTGTTTGTGTGCACTTATTATTACTATTCTTAATTCCTCTTCCCAAATGAGAAATAGTGAAGTGAAATTAGAGATTATAATGGAGAACAAGGAAGAGAAAGGGGGCATATGTAGATAATATTGAAAATTAGATGCAGAAATAGGAATAAGAAGGGATAGAAATGAAGGGGACCAATGAGAGGGAAATGTCATGTATATAAATACATCACTGAAAATTAGTGGTCAGAACATAAATAGAATAAGAGGGGAGAGAAATGAAGGCAACCAATGAGAATGAAGTATTTATATACACAAGCATAAAAACTATACATAAAATATAAATCCCCATGGTGATTCTCCATGAAATTAGTATTATTTTAGTTATTAGTTAATTAGAAAAGGCGAGTAGAAAATCATTTCGAGCCTTATCGTAGGTCATTGGTGCCCTGCATGGTTTACATCACTGCTGCTTGGGTCAAAAATTTTGAATGTAGCAATTTTTATCTTTATGACAATGCTCATCTTATATACATTTAAGTTGGCTCAGAGATTTGGCAATGATATTTTTTAGTTTAAATTAGGCTTTTGAAGTGGAACTTTCTTATGTTTGCCTAGACTTTGGTATATGTATGTATAATTGTATATACTTGGCTACTGTATCATTATTTCTCTTATTGCATTTCTCAACCAGATTGTTCAAACCATGCAAAAACCATTTTCTTATGCTGATGATTTTTTGGTTAATGCAGGAGTTCATAAGCATTCAGCAAGATCCAATTAGAAGGAGAAACTATAGAGACACGAGTTATAGGTCCCCTTTTTCGCAGTTGGGCAGCAACATTTCTTCGCTTTCATCCCAAACCTACGGCGGATACGGAGGATCTTCTAGTGTAAGTGGCTACTCTACTTTTAGGCTTTAAGAGAATCATCGTTTACCTTATTAGAATTTCAGTCTCTTTTGTTGGAATGAATTTGTCTGGATGTTTCTCTGTTTGGGGTTGACAATTGGGTGGAGTGGGGCGGTGGGATTGACATCGGAGTGGGGTGGGGCGGAGTGGGTGAGTAGTGCAGACTTGGGTTAAGTTTCAGAAAACGTAATATATAGCTTATATGTAAAAATTTTAGATCACATTAATGCTTTCTTCATAACATTTGATGTTAATGGGAGATTAGGAGAAGAATTATGTCTTCATTACAGCTATAAATGAGTTGCGTCGAGCTTGACTCGACTCAAAAACTTTAAAAATAAGCTCGAATCGATTGTAAAACTTGTGAGCTTAAAATTGTAAAGTTTAAATCAAACGCAATACAAAATTTGAAGTTTGACTCGACTTGAAAGCTCATGAGCTTAAAATTTTCAAGCTCCACTCAAAATAACAAATTAAAACTCAACTGGAACTCGAATCCGAAATTTAAATACATGAAAGTCTTGTACTTTATTTTAAAAAAATAATATATAAATGTTAATATTATTAATAATTTAATTTAAAAAAATCTAAAATTCCAATATATTAGTGTTTTTGAGTAGCTCACAAGCTTTTCGAGTCGAGTATCAAGTAGTTTGTTTCGACTTGTTAAGAATTCGAGTCGAGTTCATTTGATTCGAGTGTTGATCGAGTTTTGATCTAGTCGATATGATTACAATATTTTTTTATAACTTAATGGATTGCTTATATATAATATGATATATATATTTAGTATTATGAGGCATTAAATGTGATTTAGTTTAATCTACAATATATATATATATATAAATATAATTTACGACATACAATCACGACACACGAATGTGTGTCATTTTTTTAATGATGTGTGCTTCAATGACGCGTAATGTAAGTCATAAATGCATGTCATAAATTTATGACACACAAATGTGTGTCATCTTCATTTATGACGGGGGCTTCAATGGCGCGTCATAAATGCGCGTCATAAATGCGTGTCATAAATGCGCGTCATAGATTTATGACACACAATTACGTGTCATCTAAGATTTATGACGGTGGTTTCAATGACGTGCATTTATATATCATATGCACCCATAGATGACGCGCAATGCGCGTCATTAAAGGGGTTTTTTCTAGTAGTGATTTCACTTTTTTTTATTTTCGTTTATTTTTCTTATCATTTTTTATTTTTATTTTTATCTTTTTAAACCATATTTTTATGATTATATAGGAATAACAAACCAGTTAATACAGTAATAATATCTTAAACTACTAATATTTCATTTTAAATGTGTAAATGTTATTGTTTTTAAAAAATGAGCTCATTTTAATATATGGATGGAAAATTTTGAGGGTTTTTATCCAAAAATTATTTAATATTAAAATATTACCAATCAGGCATCAATTCCCCAAATTTTACTAATCTAATAACTTTTTCGACATAGAGAGAATAAAGCACGTTACGTGAAACGCGACTTGCACACGTGAAGGGAAGGTGAGTTGCAGGGAGCGCCTTCCATGGGTTTTGGTTGAACTGACGCCATAGTAGATTATGTAGGATGCGTCTTTGAAGGCGCATTTCGGGACACACGCCTTTTAATTCTAGATATGGTTTAAGGTTTTTTGTTTAGTTTTTTTGGTAAAAGTGGATTAGGGTTAGAGTCTTTTAATATTGAAATGGTTTAAGGTTTAAGTGATTTTAGGATTTTTTAAAAGGTTTAGGGTTTTTAAGTGGTTATGGTATGTTAAAATTATATTAGGGCTTTTTAGGGTTTAAGGCTAGATAAAAATTAAAATATTGATTGTGAGAAATAAACATTAAACTGAAAATAATGAATTTTAAACATTAAATTGAAAAATATATAAGAAAACAACATCTTTTAAAATAAACAATCTCAAATGACATTAATTGAAGGTAAAAGAAAACAAAATAACACAAACTGGGATTTTAGAAACTACAATTACATGATTGATGGTCAACGGTTAAGTGATGATAAAAGAGATGAATATTTTTTCCTAATGTGGCCTAGGTTTCTACAATGCTCACATCTTTTGTTTTCTTTTGACGTATCTCGAATATCTGTATCACAATGAATTCGAGTGGATTTTGGATGACATGCCTCCCTTAGTAAGAATGAATCTGATACAATCGTAAGCCAAGTTGAATCTCATATGGGCCTTTCTCATTACATATGGTGGGAACTCAAATCTGTATACCTTGAATACTTTTAAAAATTGATAAATGGGATCCACAACACGTTTATAGTTTTGAAGGGAATATGAGCAAGTTGTTATGACATAGGAGTATATATACTTCAAAGCTTAAAAACCCTACAGTCATACCACCTTTCTTATATATTAACTTTGAAAAAGTTAGATTCAATCCCTTGAAGAGGTCATGGCATTTCTGTGACACGAAATAATTCATGGGTTCTAGAAAAATTTGTTACCACCATTCTATTTGATGCAACAACTTTTTTCTATAGATCTGCTACTAATCTTGGGTGATAAACATGACCATTTTACATCCAAGTTAGAGCTTGTCCTCCGAGCTAGGAAAAAAAGGCTCTCCAATGAAAATATGTCATTTTAACCAAAGCAATTACTAATCTTTGGTGGTAAAATGACATGCCTCAACCAAGCTGGTTGTCATATGTTCATATTTGTATCCACCATCATATACATTTGTCCATGTTTCTTTGTTGATGCAGCTGGTGTAATTGTATCTGTGCTTATTTTTTCCTCGCAACTCTTAAAGCATGGACTCAAACCTTTGAGGTAATAGTTCGTAACCTAAGCATCATATGTAGTACTTACTGTTAAGTTCCCATAAAAAATGAAAATGATTGATAAATGAAATTAGGCATAATAACATATCCATGAGCACAAGTAATTGGTGTTTATCATTCTTCTTAAATTTTCCATGATAGCTTGCAACAATATGTCAGATACAATACCGCTGTTGGACATGAGGTGTTTTCACATTGGACCCAAAGAGTTTATTTTTGCTTTGATCTCAACTTCGTGGTCTGAAATGATGCATATGTTATCCCTCGTGACAACATGTAAGCATAAGTTTTTGAGGAAAAAAACCCAAGAATCTATATCTTTTCCATCAACAAGGGTAAAAGCAACTAGAAGAATGTTGCGATTATCATCTTGGACAACTGCTAAAAATAAAACTTGCCTATATTTTCCATATAAGAATGTCCTATCAATTTAGACCAGTCTTGTAGATTTCACAGCATTAATGCACTACGGGTAAGTCCAAAAAAGACAGTAGAATTGGCATCTATCGCGAAGCATTCGATCATTGTGGTATGCATGGCGAGTTTCAAAGTCAACTATTGTCTTAGAAGTTAGTCTGTGCACTATGTTAAACCAACTTGGTAGTTCGTTTAAAATGAATCCAACTCGTCGTGTAGTTTTATAATGACATTTTGTTTTGCCTTCCATGCTTTCTTATAGGAGACGGTGTACCCATATTGTGATTGTATAACTAAAATTACCAGCGCAATAGCTATGTGATAGCTTGTTTAGCATGATGGCTTGGAAAATAATACTAAAGTCCATGTTGAGATGGTCCTAGTTGATCCCTTTATCTCAGCATGTATGAGGATCATTGTATATTGTTAGTTCTCATATGTTGTTCTTTATCTATCTCTTTGATACACAAACCATCCAGTTGCATCCGTTATCATGTTGGACGTAGTGGCAGGCATACTTTTTTGTGGTGGATCAGTCGACTATGAAGTGAACAGAATTATAAATATTGTAATTCTTAATTACAATCATTGCTTCTTCTTCGGACGGAAATTACATTCTAATATATAACTCATCATCATTGACTGATGAGTTAAATCCATAGTTACCTACAATAGGTATATCCAAAAATCATGGCTCATACATTACATCATATTCAACTTTATACATGTGTGATGGAGGTTTGATTTGTACGTATTTATGGAAACTTCATCTGCATCATCATCGGATTACATGTTGAATTACGGTGATTCAGGCTCAATGAATAGTCCAGTCCCAACATAATCCACACCTGACTCATGAAGAGGTTCTTCTGGTGGAGATAAGGGTTCACATGTGATGTCAATATTTAGGTCGAACAAGTTGGTAGTTGAATGCCTTCCCATTGAACTTAAATGTATCATATAGGTTTTGAATTGAGTGTTATATCAAAGGCATCTTCATATTGAGGTCAAATAAGTTCGTAGTTGAATGCCTCCCCTTAGAACTTAAAGGCGTCGTGTCAAATGGGTATTGAACATATTGTTGTGTTGAATGCATCTCCATATTTAGGTCAAAGAAATTAGTAGATGAATGTCTTCCCCTTAAATTGGAAGGGATATTTCCATATGGATTGTTCGTGAAGCCATCTTAGTAGAGATCGTAACAAGGTGTTGATGAATGTCTCCCCATTGAACTTGATGGAATGGTACCAGGACGTGGATTTGCCATTAACAATGTAAAATCATTACACATTACTTGAGTTGGGCTGTCAACTTGATCAACTTGTTGAGGCAACCCATAGTGAGAGTAGAATGACATACCACGAACTACATACACTTCAACAAATATGGCATACATTTCTGTAAGAGAGTCTGGATTTTAATTTTAAGCATCAACCATCATAACAACATCATCATTTTTGGAGAGATTGAACATTGTATGTTTCAATGGAAATAGTTCAGTCAAAAATTTGTACTGAAGTGAAGACAGGCTCCTAGTACTTGCAACACGAGCCTTCCTTTAAATTTTTATGATTAGCTCCTCAAGAGTGATGTTTCTCTTAAAGGATGAGGTGATATAATGATTTGATTTGAACAAAACACTGGCTTTTTTTCCCTAATTTATCTATAATATTAAACTACAGTCGAAAAATGCCTCATTTTTTTGTGTTTGAGATATGTAGTGTTTGAAATTTTTGGTGTTGAGTCTTAAATTTGCGAAAAAGAAAAGGA